CTTTGTTTCTTGTGGAGATTTGCTGTATCCACATGTATCCCCTGAGCTGACAGTAACTGCCTTTGACATCAAAGCTATATTCGACCAAAGAGCCCTAGCAAAACAGTAATCAATGGGTATCAGGGGCAAACTGTCCACTAGTTGAAGTGATACTTGGCACATAGAAAGATGGCTGTGATTGTTGGAGATCAGTCATTTCAGCTCCAGGGCAACTCTGCAGGAGTTCCTCAGGGTAGTGTCTTAGGCCCAACCATGTTCAGCTGCTTCATCAATGACCTTACCTCCATCATAAGGTCAGAAGTGGGGGTGTTTGCCAATGATTACACAATGTTCAGCTTCATTTATGACTCCTCAGATACTGAAGCAGCCCAAGTTCAAATGCAGCGAAACCCAGACAATGTCCATGATGATAAGTGGCAAGTAACATACACATCATGGAAGTGCCAGACAATGATCATCTCCAACAAGAGATTTAGATAACCATCATTCCTTGGCCTTCAATAGCATTACCATTGCTGAATTCCCCACTGCTCCATCCACAAACATCTACTCCACCTACCACTGATGCTCAGTATTGACCATTTACAAGATGCACTGCAGAAATAAACCAAGCCTGTTTAAACAGCACCTTCCAAAAGCACAACAACTACCATCTAGAAGGATATGACAGCAGATCCATGGAAAATAACACCACTTGCAAGCTCTCCAACCCACTCACTCACTTGTCTTGGAAATGCATCATCACCATTCCTTCACTGTCGCTGAGTTGAAATCCTGGAATTCCCTCCCTCAGGGCATTGTGGGTTTACCTACAGCACACAGACTGCAGCAGTTCAAGAAGGCAGCTCACCACCATCATCTTGAGGGGTAACTAGGAAAGTGCAATAAATGCTGGCCCAGCCAATGATGTCCACATCCCACAAGTTAATTTCTTTTAAAAAGGTGCAACATCCTTTGGCTGGACTACTTGCATTCCTTCAACAATGTATACCATTTCTATCCTTTTTATATCTCAGTGTGTACCTTTTGTAGCCTTTAATTCTCTAACGTTGGACCTTGTTTTATTAGTGCAGTCCTCATGTATTCTTTCTTATTGGGATCCGCTTCTAATGTCTGCCTTCTGCTTCATGAACTAACTTCGAGTAAATTACAGAGTTTCAAATTTCCTTTCATGATTTTCATGGATTTCGCTTTAACTGTCAATTTTGTTTGCATTCTGTCTGGCCTCTTGCCCATCGTCCACTGCCTTGTCCCAGCATTGTCATCATGCTTAAAGCAGTTACTACCCTAAAGCAGTGCAATTTCTTGCCCTCTGGAATTTCCTCCCCATCTCTCTTCTGTTAGCAGCCCTCTAAATAACTATGGGTATGGGCACCTGAACTAATCTCTCTTCCCTTTGGCTTGGTGTTGTATTTTTTTTGTGCAGGTATAGCTCCTGCAAAACACCTTGGGGCATTTTTGCTTGGCTACCTTGGCCCATATCCCTCCAAACCTTTCCCATTCATGAACTTATCCAAATGTCTTTTAAACATTGTAACTGTACCTGCATCCTCCACTTTCTCTTGCAGTTTATTCCACACATGAATCACTGTCTCTATAAAAAAGGTTGCCCCTCATGTCCTTTTTAAATCTTTCTCCCCTCCCCTTAAAAAAAACCCTAGTTTTGAACGCCCCACTCTAAGGAAAAGATCTTTGTTGTTCACCTTATCTATCCCCCTCATGATTTTATAAACCTCAATAAGGTCACTCCTCAACCTTCTATGCCACAGTGAAAAAAAATCCCAGCCTATCCAGTTTATTTTTATTTCTCAAACCCTCCATTCTGGTAAATCTCTTCTGAACCCTTTCCAGTTTAATAATATCCTTCCTATAACGACGTGACCAGAACTGCACACAGCAGCCTAGAGTAATGTATACAGTTTCCTCCCTGTATTTAAGAGAGGATATACTGGCACCAGAGGAAGTTCAAAAGAGATTCCCTGGTCTGATTCCTGGGATGAGTTCTACTTAAATGACCAGCCTTGACCAACCCCTGCACTTTCCTATAAACCACTTCAAGGCAGCAATTATGATTTTTTTTCAGACCCTCCACTCAATTTTATCACTGTTTCCTTAAGTCTTTGGAGTTTCAAATCCTGTCTGTAGAAATAGGCATTTAATGAATATGTTGATGAGACTGTGAGGTAAGCTTTGATGTCACGGTAACCTTAGTAGTCATGCGTTAGTGTTCTGTTCAGAAGTTGGACTGTGTACACTCGGAGCATGCCACCCTGTAGCCTCACCATTGTATATAGTATAATAATAACCAATATGTAAGAAACCACATTTTTCATTTTTTTGGATCTACACATTGAAATGGAAATTGGACTGCTATAACTGGAATACCAGGAAAGTTTGGCAACTTGAAAATCCAGCATTGTATATTGTTTGAGCTGTGTAGTATAATGTTGCTTTTTGGAGGCAGTAAGAGGGGGAGTTTGAGAATGAACAGCACCAAGTGTATCTTGAAATCAGAAAATTCTGCCTGGCAATGGCCCGCTGGTTATGTTTTAAGTGCCAAGAACAGCAGAGATTGAAAAACATTCGGAGCCTTCAGACAGAAAGTATCTCTCCCATCTCCCACACCCCCTCATGCTCAGAAGTAGACAGAAAACCAGAGATAGCTATTCATGCACGAAAAGTCCTAAGTTCAACTGATGAGCCACTGAACCTGAACGATAATCATCACCTTACAGACTACAGTTTTGCAAAAATCGCAAGTCAGATGAGGAATAACTTTTCATTTTGTGATCTAAACTTTTGACTTCTGGAATTTTGTTTGCCCTGTATAAGTACGATATTTTATGCTCTTTCCCACCCATTGTATGTATGTCAAATTGTTTGTCTTAATTGTGATTAAGGGTACACGTGTTTGGAATTTGAAAGGGTATTTTTTAAGTTGTGTAAATTAGGAA